TGCAGAGGTAGACTGCCATTGGTCTGCGAGGGCTAGTATATGGTCGTCCGGAGCCTTGCGTGTGACTCACAACTCGGGGGTAGATCTTGATCCAGCACGTGTAGAATTCGATCCCAGTATAACGGTCATGACTATGTGCCGGACTAGGATTCAATAACTTACAAAGTCTGATAAATTGTCGCCGGGGCCTCTGTAGAAGCAGGAACACAATGAAAATACTGACACACTCAGAATCACATGCATGCAATCGTAGCATGTCGCATAAGTAGTCCTTCCGATCAGTCTGAACGCAAATGAAACATTGAATGTGCGCGAGCGATATCGGATAGTGGCATGATTATCACGAGTCGTGTAGGAAAATTCTCCGTGACGTCCCGTAAAGTAGGGGTAGTGACGGGGAGCAAACATCCAACCGGAGACTGATCACGAGCTGCTCGTTGAACTCGAACAACGCAAAGAACTTGCGCAAAACACGACGGACGACCTGTCACGGGGTCCTTGTTTGGCCGCTCGGCTCAATTTGATCGGAGTTTTATTACGTCAGCTATGGTTGACGCTGTGAGCGCTCCTCCAACCCCCCTCGATGTCTTTCGTGCCTGTCACCCGCTGGCCTCATGAATCATGATACAACGGTGGTCACTGTGGCCGCATGCGCGATGTGTCGGCCATGAATAAAAACTCCGACCGAAGCCAATACCCCCGATTATCTGTGGAGTCACGGTAGCGGTAGTACTAGCCTGTAGTGCTTCCTGAGTATACGGGGCAACTTGAACGGAGGTACGTTTGTAATTCCGAGCCTACCATTTTGAGCTTGTTCACATGTAGAGTGGCGTACTCTTTATCGACGAGCTAGCAGCGACCGCCGAAAAGTCATCTTTGGTCACATTGCCTGCGGATGATAAATAAGTACACGCGCGATAGGCATGGATACAGTTACAGCCATCCGTAGCTAGACCTATTAAGTTAATGCATCGGGACTTTCATCACAAGCAGTGCACTATCGCCATGCTGTAGCACCATCGTAAGTAATGTCCTCACTTGAAACCGTTCAATGTCGTTGATTTAGGAATTGTTTGTCTCTTCTATCTAATCTTGCCACGCAGACCTCGAGACCGCACGCGAGGGCCCGGGTTAGCAGGCCAATGATAAATTTAAGATTAGGCAGCCGTGTGGGAAATTTAAACTTAATGATCGTGTTTCATCTGTCAACATGCCGGTGATCGCACCTTGCCGCATTGCATTGGAACAAGTTTATGTTGTAAAATGGCCTGCATCTTTCATCTGAATCATCTTCTCGTACCACCATGATTGCACGGCAGGATGACGAGGAAATGCCTCTTCTGCAACGACCAGAGCAACCAACGACTAAGACACCTCTACCCTGGGATCAATTTTCGATCGTACTGTTCTTGGAGACGTTAGATCCTCTTTCTTCTCAGACCCTTTCCCCGTTCACTCCCCAAGTGAGTATATTCCCTTTGCCTATACTTATATCTGACCACAATCGGAACTTTGTTAAGCTCGTTAGAGATATTGGAGTGACTCACGGAGACGAGTCTCAGGTTGGTCGTTATGTCGGCATCCTTGTAAGCATGTCTTCGTCATTCCTCCCCCTTCATTCAGTTCCTGATATTCTCCCGAGCAATCGTCATACTATGTAGCGCATGCACTGACTATTTTTCATTGGAGTCAACTGTCCGACCACATCGGCCGGAAACCTGTAATACTGATAGCTCTATTAGCAATTTCGGTCTCGATGTTTTCGTTTGGGTTGTCGAAGACTTTCCTTGATCTGGTCATCAGGTCAGTGTGTTCAACTTAATACTTGTGGTCATCGATTACTGATATTCTTGACCAGTCGTGTTGTCTGCGGAGCATTTGATGCGAGCAATGCTATCCTCAAGACCATGGTGATGGACATCACTGACATGACCAATATGCCCGAGGCATACGGTTATGTACCAATTCCGTGGATGATCGCAAACTCAATTGGGTAGGCATACATCAATACGTATTCCATTTTCTCTCTCACTAAGTTCACGACATCTAGACCACTCATTGGCGGCTCGCTCTCCCGACCAGCAGAGAGATTCCCTAATATCTTTGGGCGATCAGAACTCCTGAAAGCCTACCCATATCTCCTACCATGCTCTATTCCGGCATTGTTTGCATCAACAGCTTGGCTAGTCACGTATTTCGGTCTTAAAGAGGTGAGTCTGGCGCTGAAAACCCATCTCTGGACCACACTAAGGGTGGTTACAAGAGCACTTCTACCAGGACATCACTTTGGGAGCTGATTAAAGGAGGATTCTCCGGAAAGTCATACAAACCTCGCCAGCTATCGAGCAATGCTATAGTCGATTCTGGCGAAGCGGATCTTGACGAAGTCCAATCAAAGCCGCTTTCGCTGCGTGCCTTGCTAACCTCGAAAGTGTTGAACGTAACAGCAAGTTATGTCACCATGGCCCTGTTTCATATGGCGTTTAATTCGGTCCTACCTGTTTTCTATGCGACACCGATTGAACTCGGTGGTCTTTCCCTTGACCCTCCTCGCATCGGCGCTTTACTTGCAGCACAAGGCGTCGCGCATGGCATATTTCAGCTACTTTTCTTCGCTCGTTTACATGATCGCTTCGGTGCAAGAGCTATCCATATCACCGGCGTTACCTCCGGTATACCCATCGCCATCTTATTTCCAGTGATCAACGCTCTTGCCCGAGCCCATGGGATAGGTATGGCGGTGTGGCTGTGTGTTGCCGTTCAGCTTGCGCTGTCGATCAGCTTTATCATGTGCTACCGTATGTCCATCCAACACTTCCGACGTCTTAATTTACTGAGAAGTCCTAGCTTCCATGGCATTGTTTATCAGAGCCGCCTCTCCCAATCATGCTTCGCTCGGAGCAACCAATGGAATCGCGCAGATGGCTGCCTCGGTTGCGAGGATCGTTGGCCCGGCATCTGCAGCTTCGGTCTTCTCTTATTCAATGCAGGAAGGGCATGATGCGTGGATGATATACTATTTCATGATCACAATTGCACTTTTTGCAGTAGGTACTGGTCTATTCCTTCCCCGTAGTCCTAGTGTGTGGGAAGATGATCAATAATTTTATCGCGGATGGCATGGCTCAACATTGTTATATACATTACGGTTACATAGGATATTGAGAAGCTCTCCCAAACTACAGTAATTTGACACTAAACAGATGCTATGCATCATGAGCGTTCCACACGTGGGGGGATAGTAACCCAAGGGCCCAGACATATGGTGTTTTCCTTTTGGTGGTGGAAATAAACAGATAAATAATGATTTCATCAGTGAACCACAAATTTCGTCACAGACATCAACATTTTGACAGTTCCCACAGTAACCCACAGCACTCACAGCACTCACAGCAAACTTCTCCCAGGCATCAATGTTTCAACATTGGAAATATTCTTAAGTCCAACATTTGTATATGTTTGTTCAGGTGACGGTGCGCTCACTGGCACAAAAGTTCAACTTGTCAACAATGTTCTTCGCTGTAATGATACAACTTGAACAATGGCTGAGGAGGGAACACATAGATAGACTCTCAGCCAAATATATAATGTTGTGGTCTAGCACAGCCTAGTCTGCTATACTTGCAAGACAAGTGTGTTTGACCTGAGGGGTTTGCTGTATGGTATCAGAATAATCAGTTATATGAAAAGGAAGATAGTCCAAGGCGTGGGAAACAAAGTCCAAAGGTATAATTATGAGTCTGATGTTCTCGGGTTTTGGGTTAGCAGGTTTGTGTCGGGTTTGTGTCAGGAATATAGTGAATGTCGGTGTAGGACTTGGAGTCCTTGTAGCCTCGTAGAGGCCATTTTTGCAGTGTCCCTTAGGGTCCTCGCATAGCGCACGTTATAGCTAACGCGGCGCGCACCATTTCCGTTATCGGCTGATGGCCGCAACTCATGCGCGCGCTTCAGCTTGCATCCGCTTCCCTTTGGTTCTGTCGCACATCCTTCCCTTGTCCTATCCATGTCCTCCGCTGGTCCATTGGTGCGTACTTATCTCAATCTGCATTAGACTGACTTTATTTCTGACACTATCTCATTTATATTTTCATTACTTGCGTTATGGACCCTGTTTACATACTACCACTACCTACTCGGCTCCGAACAGTGCTTTGCACTGTAGAGATACAACAATTGCTGGGCACTACACGAAGTAAGTGTTTAGCAATATAAAAATGTTGTGGTCGTGCACAGCCTAGGCAATGACACAGGTATACCCGTGGGTGTCGCCAGTGTCACTCGCACCTGTACCCGCAGATATACCCACACCCATGACATGGGTGCGGGTTTTATGGTGGGTTGGTAGGTAGCGCACCTGTGGGTGCACACTAACATAGTTGAAAAAAACAAAATGTAACTACAATTAATTCAACCTTATTCTATCCCATCCATCCTCAAGTACCTCGTCAGCATCACCATCAACATCGGGCAATGTAGCGACTTTCGTAACATCTTCGTCCTTGACAAGGTTCAAACAGCTCCAAGCGCCGAGGCAGAGTAAGGCGCGTGTTGACTGCGCAGACAGACGTGACTGAACGTGAGTTAAGAGGAGCCTACCGCGGCTGAAAAGACGTTCAACATCGACCGATGTAGCTACCAACAGTGTCAGAACAATCTTTGATAGTGAAAAATTAGACGTACCAGGTATTGTCAGGTAATCGAGTGCCATCCGCGAGAGACACAGATAAGATGAGCAGCGCTCATGCCACCACACGATAGCGTCGGTAACGTGCTCAACATCAGCACTCAGGTAACGGTCAAGCTCGTTCCCTAAGTCGATGGATTGGGGTGGCGCGAGCACTGACATATGGTCAAATATATTCTAGAACACAGTGAGTAGTGAGTGGATGGAACAAAGAAAAACGAACCTCGCACGAAGAATCCACCGCCGATTGAGCAGGCCTGTCAATTGCCATCTCAAGAGCATCGTCGTCTTGAATCTCCATGTCCTGGTAGGACCGCTCAAACTTGTCATGAACCAGGGTTTCTGCGGTGTTGATCCAATCTTGCTCCCAACCGGCGGACTTGAAATAAGTCAGTTTATGACGAGGGTGCAGGACTAAAGAATAGTCAGTGTTCATAGGGATGTTGTAACTACTGAGTGGGACGGAAGAACTTACTCATGGCAATCCTGTAGACCTCTGATGTATCGGTCAGCTCATAGTATCGGTCCAAGGTCTTCTTTGCGAGTTGAACTGCCGCGCGAATTGATGGAGAATATTTCGTGTCGTGAGAATACTTGGTCATCCGGGTGTCGATTAAATCCATTGCGGGTATAACGGTTGCAAGATTAGGAGTTGATCGAGAGAAGAAGAGGGTAGCATCCTCTAGAATCTTAGATGCTGGTGAGCATGTTTGTGTTTGCTTAGTAAACAATCATAACACACCTTCAAGACGTCATGAAGTTGACCGGCAATTTCCCACTCACTGTCAGCAACCTCAAACTTTTGCAGACCCAGCTCTCTTCGCTGTGTAACAGCATCAATTGCTTTCCGATGCGAGACGGCATACTCCAACATGTCGTACGTGGAATTCCAACGAGTGGAGACATCGCGGGGCATGTTAGTTGGTGACATGGACTGATCAATGAGGATCTTGTGCCAGGCAGGCAGGAGGAGCGTTGTGGAGTGTATGAGCTTGTACGTGAGTTTGCGCAACTGCACAACGTCATGGTCAATTCGCAGGTGAGTTTGTATCAATTCTAACGCACCTTGAGAAGAACTAACTTCACAGGTCGAATATTTGTTCGCAGCTCTGCAGCTTGGGCCTCTGGCAACAACAGCACCTCATTTACCCATCCCTCGTTGTTATCTGGCGGGTCATCCTCCGACTCATTATACTGTGCGACCATCTCCCTGTCTTCCTTCTCAATGTCAGCGCTCAGCTCGATAAGCCCATCATCTTTGGCAGCATTCTGATCCCAGGCATGTTCAGCGTCTTTCTTCGATACATCAAACTCGCATATCAGGGACTTTGCGACAAGATTCATGGTGTGCAAAAAACACCTGGTGTGGCTCGCTTCTCCTGTGAACTTGGGAACCAACATCACAAGCTTGTCGACCATCATGTTATTGTTTGATGCGTTGTTGCACGTCACACTCAACATCTATTTATCAATGCTTCAGCACGTAAGTTTTTTCTACTGATTTAAAACATTACCTTCTCTGATATGTTGAATTCCGTTAGCATATCTGCAAAGACAGCTGCAAGCTGCTCTCCAGTGTGAGACTAGCAGTGGTTCAATACATGAACCATTCTCGATGTAAGTGATCAATGTACCATGGAGACTTCAATGATGTCTAACGGAAAACTCAGGGGGACACCTTTGTACTCGAGATGTACTGCGAACGCAACGAATGCACGGTGGTTCTCCGAGGTCCAAGCATCTGTAGTAAAGTTCATTTTCCCTTTGTACTCCTGGTAGGTCGTTTTAGTTTTTTTCTGTGATTCAATTAAATAAGACTTTACTAACTCCCAACATCTTAGCAATTCGCTTGTGCATTCGCGCAAACACGAGTCTTACATCACGAGAGATTGTCCTTGGAGAAGGTATGTAATACTCGGGCCTCCCGGTCTTCATCAATGACTGAAAACCTCTATCTTTGACTATATCAAATGGTCGTAGGCTCTCCACTACCCAACGGACCAACTCAGCCCTGCAAGATTGTCTGTTAGCTGATGTGCAGATGAAGCTCGAGGACCCACTTGGTTTCAGTATGAGTATGCTGCCTATGTGAGTACGTGACCTTTCCTTTTCCCTTACGCTCGAATGACGCCGTAATTGACCCGCTATGCAGGATACTTGTGACGATCTTGGTTCGCACTTCCTCCGCATTTTTTGCATCATCACAAGCCTGCAAAACCTCATCCCCCCAGCAAGTCTTGACATGCTTTTGCATGTTACCTGTCGAGCGAGCATCTTTCTTATCGAGGAACCGACAAATACAGACCTTGCATCCCTTCGCCATGCACTTGAACCCATGTGCACGACGTCCATCAATTATCTCGATGGCGGGCATGGGATCAAAAAACGCATAGATCGGTGAGTTCCACTCCTTCATTAATTGTTCTGTAGTGACTAATGTTAGTTTATACATAGAATTCGAACTTGGCCCCTCACCGAGCTCCTCCTTTGCAGTCTCTTCTTCATCGCTGATCACAATTGCCTCGTCATTCAACGCTTCATCTTCGTCTTCAGAGTGGACCGCTGCTTGTCGGCTCAGTGCTGGATGGGCTTTAGGTGGGGCTTGTTCAATGGTTCTGCCGTGAGGCTCGGTTGATGCTTCCTCGACACTGTTAGTGCCATGTTCCTGGGTTGACTTGGCCTTCTTCGGCTGTGTGTGTATTGTTCCGTTGCTACCATCAGTATTCTTTCTTTTTTGGATGTGATTTTGAGCCTCTCATCTACTGCTGCCTTTGCTTTATCTGTAAGTTTGGTGATATGTTTAGTAGTGTTTTTGAGAATTGTTGAATGCATGGTAGCTTGTTAGTGTTGTTGTTTTTCCTTCTGTTGGTTGGTATCGTGCTTTAAGATTAAGGTTCACACTTGGTACAGTATCGGAGTTATATAACATTTTGCTTACATACCCACCATAGGGGTATGGGTATGGGTGTGGGTACCCAAAGTGCATACCCCCACCCACACCCATGACCCATGTGGGTGGCTGGTACCCATGACATTGCCTAGCACAGCCTAGTCTGCTATACTTGCAAGACAAGTGTGTTCGACCCGAGGGGTTAGCTATTTGGAATGGTCTGTAGTTAGTGAAACAATAAATGGTCAAAAGTCCGAGCACGAGAAACAAAGTCCGAGGGTATATCTACGATGTCCAACGCCAAAGTGTCGGGTCCGATGTTTTCGGGTTTCGGGTTAGTGGGTTTGGGTTTAGCGGGTTTGCGGGAATGGCGATAGCGAATGTCGGGAAAGCGAGTGGTATGCAGATATATGATAATGACGGGTATTTCGGATAGAAAGAGCAGTAATATTCGCAATGTCAACTAAGAACTACGAAATATCGGGTTTGACCACTAAGTATCAGGAAACGGCTCCCTACTACTTGGATAATGAAAATACTCATAGTCAGTCCAATATATATATAAGTACGTAGAAATCCAGAACCCTATAGGTGAAAGTAGCGGCCGACGATTTCGGGTCCAAAGTACATGTAAACTAACACGAGGCGCTGCGGATGATGGGAAAACATGTAATAGCGCTTGCTATGACATGAGTAATGTGTGAAATAATCAACTACGCACCTAGTGGGGCTAGCAAGATGGGACAGGACACGGATAGGACAAGTGCATGGGAAAATATCGGGTCCGATGCGGCCGAAACATTGGGTCCACTAGTCAAAGCATCAGGTTTGTGTCGGGTTTGTGCGGGTTACATCAGAAAGTAATGGGCATTGAACGTGTATCAGGAAATCAACAAATACGAGCCTAACACGAGCTCGAGTGCTACAGCGCGCTCTCATATATACTTAGTACTTACGAATTCTCATGTATCTATCTTTTCCCGTGTCGAAATTATCACCAACTTGCACGCAACACTTGGACTGAAAATCTAAAACCTTCGACATACTACCGCATGTGCGCCTCTTATGGCCGCGTTAACGTTCACATTCCACTTATCGTTTCTATTGTCGAGCTTTCTCCTCGCTCCATCACCGTGCCGCATAGCCTACGGGCTCGCAAAACCTTCGCATTTATTGTTTAGCTTGGCTGCGCGCTTCCGCGCCTCATCAAACTCTCAGCTATACGGCCGCACATCATAACACGCTTTTTGGCGGCTCGCTCACGCTCGCATCGCATCAGTGCAAATTCTCGCACTCTTTCATTCCCAGTTACCCTTACTAGTTTCCAAGTTTCCCCTCACATTTTATCCAGAGGAATCATTCTCAGTAGCAATCCCCTTGGGCCGAATCTATACTCGCATCCAGAGGTCTATTTGAGTTTTACCCCACTTCACCCTTTCACCCCTTCTCATCTAGCTATCATTCCTCACACACATCAGTGTAGAGACTCACGCCTCTCAATGCGGGATATACGGCCCTATTACCCACATAATTCCCTACATGTTCCTGCTCTTATCTGAAGGATCAGTCATATGCGCTCTCACACGTGCGCTCTATGTACATGCCTCATTCACGCGCCTTACATGCACTCGCACCTTTCGTGTGCGTTTGAGTGCCTCCCCTTAGGCTTTTGCATTCTTGTCCGTCCGTCTGTCCTATGTCCTCACTGATTTACTGGTGCGTTATTCTTATCCCTTTCACTGAATTGACATACCTTCGGTCCGATCTCCACGCTTACATACAGAAAGTCTATCTTAGGCTTTAGAATATATTTAGAGTTGATATGGTTACTCGGTTCGGTACCGCGCTCAGAAGCGCGCTGCATAGCGTAATCTCCCTTCTTAAATAGAGGGAAAGTTCCTTTTAACTTACTTCCCCCCCCCCCCCCCCCTTATCTGAGTATACTGCAAATTGTATAGTGCAACTTAGTACTTGAAATCCGATTATACTTCACTATCTACCATTGCTCGCGCTCTCGTTATACTTGAAAACTCTTCCCTATCACTCATAGCGCGCTTCCGCACATGCACGCGCCCCTCGCATTCTTTGCTCATGCGCCTTCGCATCGCTTATGCACGCCTCCATGCGCATTATCTTCTCATGCCTCCGCACACCTGTTACCACCCATCTAGTTGACGAAGACTCCCTCCATTACATTAAAGAGGAACTTCTCTCAGTAGCTGTCCTTTGGGTCGAGTCGTATTCTCGTATCCTGGACTTGCTGTAGAACCCCCATTAGCTTTAGCATTTTACCTATAGTCAAGATTCCTCACCTTCATCAGGAATAGCAAATGTCAGATGTTTTGGAGTGTTTTGGATAAAGAATGGATGATATTGCAGAATTCAGCTAAGAACTACAAAATATCGGATGACCTCCTCCTACTCAGAGGCAGAAAGGTAAAGTAAATAGGTAGGAGGTATGCGAAATATATAGTGTCTATGTAGAATTTTGGAGTGCTATAGGTGAAAGTAGTAGCACTAATTTTCGGGTCCTATGTCCTATGTAATAAGACACAATGTACTGCGGACATGTAATAACATGTTCTACGATGTTAGCGATGTGAAAACAAGTAACTGCACACCTAGTGGGGATAGATGTGACAGGACATGACATATGGAGGACATTTTCATTGGGTTTTGTCAGGTTAGCATTGGGTTTTGTCGGATTAGCATTGGATTAGCGGATTAGCATTGGATTTAGTAGATAAACATTGGATTGAGCAGGTGAGTGTCAGATAACATCGGGAAGTGATTTGTGTGCAATGGGTGTTTGACATGCATGGGAAATTAGCAGAATATGAGCCTAGTGCGAGCTTGAGTGCTACACTGCCTCCATGAAGTGTGTTTCTTTATTTTAATTTTCAGGTGTGCAATGATTCTTTATTCTAATGTTGTTCTTTACATTTAAACAAACTATTCTAGGATGACTTGCTAGACTCATTATCTTGCTTAAGTGCTTATTGAGGTGCACAATGATTTTTTTTCATTCTAATCTTGTTCTTTAGATTCGTTCTCTCATTTGCTGCTCTCACTTGTCGCTACTCTCTTGTCCGCTCTCACCTGCTCTTGTCCACTCTCCCTTGCTCCTGTCTGCTCTCATTTTCTCTTGCTTGCTCCAACAATGCTGACAATGATGCGACAATGACAATGACAATGCAACAATGACAACGTCGACACAATGATGATGATGATAATGCAATGACAACAACAACAACACAATGACAACAACAACAATGCGACGACAATGACGACACAATGATGATGACAACAATGATGCAACAACAATAACACAATTGGTGTCCTGTAATTTGTACTTGATGTCTAGAATATTAGTTTCTCATTTTGCAATGCATTTGTTTGCATTTACTTTTATATGTGTAACTTGAGACTCTCCATAGGTGCGTGCTCAGTTGTGACTCTCATTGGGGAATGGTTTTTGTGCTAACTTTGCTTTGATACATGTGTCACAGAACTCTGGCTTGGAGTTTTGGTCCAGCTCAATGCCGATGACAAGGCCTTTATTTACAGCCTCAACCACCACAGGCTAGGAGAATACTTTTAGGGATTAGGTTGTGTCAGGAATATGTTGGGAAGGTAGAGAATGTCGGGAATAGCAAATGTTACTATCTGTGTTTTGGAGTGTTTCAGATAAAGGAAGGATGATATTTCAGAATTCAGCTAGAACTACTAATATCAGGTGACCCTCTCCTACTCAGAGGTAGAAAGGTAAGTAAAGTAATGGGTAGAAGGTATGTGAAATATATAGTGTCTATGTAGAATTTTAGAGGGCTATAGGCAAAAGTAGTAGTGATAATTTTCAGGTCCTTGAATGTCCTATGTAATAAGACATGTGGTACACATGGTCTACAATGTTAGCAATGTGAAAACAAATAACTGTGCACCTAGTGGGAATAGATACGACAGGACATGGCATAGGGAGGACATTTTCTTATAGGCTAATGCGAAACCTGATGCCTGATGTGAAACCTGACAAACCCGATGTTCAGGTCTGATGAATGTCTCATTGGACAGCTAGAAATATGGTCAGACAGAATGTCATTGTCATACATCATAAAATAGCCTGATATGGGCCTAATGCAAGCCCAAGTGTTACATCGTGCTGGGCTTATATCTAGCTATTTCATGATGTATGTTAAAATATTTGTCACATGCTAATCACTTCCCAATGTTATCCAACACTTACTCACTCAACCCAATGTTTAGGCCAATTCAGCTGATGGAATTCCATGCACATATCCTCCCTATGTCATGTCCTGTCATATCTATCCCCACTAGATGCATAGTTATTTGTTTTCATGTCGCTAATATTGTAGATCACATTGTAACACTTGGGCTCACATTGGGCCTGTATCAGGCTATTTTATGAAGCATGACTATGCCATTCTGTCCAACCATATTTCTAGCTGTCTAATCAGACATTCATTGGATCCAAACATCAGGCTCGTTGGGTTTCACATTGGATATCAGGTTTCACATCGGCCTATCAGAAAATGTCCTCCCTA